TTTTTTTTTTTGAGACTGAGTCTCGCTCTGTCGCCCAGGCTGGAGTGCAGTGGCGCAATCTCAGCTCACTACAACCTCCACCTCCCAGGTTCAAGCGATTTTCCTGCCTCAGCCTCCTGAGTAGCTGGGATTACAGGCATGCACCACCACACCAGGCTAATTTTTGTCTTTTTAGTAGAGACAAGGTTTTGCCATGTTTGCCAGGCTGGTCTTGAATTTCTGACCTCAGGTGATCCGCCCGCCTCGGCCTCCCAAAGTGCTGAGATGACAGGTGTGAGCCACCATGCCCAGCCTAAATTATCAAAATCTTAAATCAGTTCAGTCTTAAGTCATCCCTGTTTCAGCAGTAACCACAGCATTTCACTTTCTTGCTATAAAAATTGTGACTAGATACAAATTAAAGTTACTGCCACTTGGTAACTGCACACTATGTAATATGTATACAGTAATGAGGCTACTAATATTTTCAATACACCACATGTGGACCATCTCTGGACATAAGATAAACAAAGAAGCAGCCAGAGAGTATATTCAGCATGTGGAATTTAGTAAACATTTTTTATCACAGTCCACACTCTAAGAAAAACCTAGTGCCCTTTGACTGAATTAGAATCATTTTACCACTTAACAGGAAGGAGTCTAGTGCCACCCATTTTAAGGGTGAAAAAGTTAAAATAATTGATCACTTCAAAGCGAAAATCAGAGTATTGTTACCTTTTTTTGGTAAATGTTAAAAAAAAAAAACACTATAGCCTAAGAAGCTGTCAAATATTGCATTAAGATTATAATAGCCACTGGAAAAACTTAACGTAACTTCAACGTTATTATCACTATGAGGGTAAAAACCATGCTAAAGCCAGGGCCCTTCCAGGAGCTAAATGCTCTTGGAAAGTGTCCAAAACAATGTTATAGTAAATTTCCAACTTGTTTCAACTAAGGTCAAGGAAAACAAATTATCTAAAGCACTGGATTATATTTGAATACATTGCAACTAAAAGTTTTACATCAAATAATCCCATGGAAAAATCTTTACTCTGTACTTATCATGGGCCCTAAATTCAGTAAGGGCAATGTGGGGGAATAGCTGCACCTAGGAATCCATGCTACGTGTTACTTAGTAGTATTTTGAGAAAACTTTCAATATCGATAGCTTCCATTTTGAGAGAATGATATTTTAACAAAATCTGTGAAAATAATGGCTTGGAATGACACTGAAAATCTCCTTAGCTTCTATAATGTGGACAACATGTGCTGGTTACTCTTTGGTTTCTAGCTTCACTCAAAGTTCAAGGTCTCCTGCTATTTGTGGCTCAGATTCTTTCTTATGGGAGGCATGTCTGATAGATATATACCAATTTCATAAATAAACAAACATAAAGGTATTTTATGTGTGAGTGCATGTGTGGGTGTACATATATAACACTCTAGACAAGCCATGCTTTTCACTCACAACAGTATTTTAATAAATTACAGTTCTACTAAAGTGAGAAGTAAAAGCCAACCGTTAACAAAAAAATCTAGCCAAAGAATAGCAAAGTGAGCTACAAAATTAATTCCAGAAGCCAAAGAACTAAATAATGCAGGTTCACAAAACAAACAAAACCAACACATTTTCAATGAGCACTATTCGGTTTATCTGTAAATGTTCATGTATTTAAAAAGTTGAGTAGTACGCCAACTTTCACTTATGACAACATTCTACATAAATACCTAATTCCCAAGAGAAATAATTCAGGTTTAAAGAGCTGTATACAAAAATAAGAGAAGCAAGAGCTACAATGAAAAGAACAGAAGCAAATTACATGGTAGCTGCCTGAAACACTAAACGTGGGATGTACTGAATACAGTGTACAGGAGACTCAAAATGCACATATTAAGCCTAAATATTCCCAATGTATTCAATATCTATGAAACAAACAATAGAATTTCAATCAACACTTGCCACAAAAATTGCCATAAGCTGATTGCTTCTATTTTTTAAATGATGTAACAATGACAGATTTGTTGCCACATATTTTGTAACTTACCAACACTGAGCTATTAAGTTTCTATTAGCAATGTTTTAACTGAGGATTTGGGCTAGAAGACTGAAATCTGTTCGTACAGCAGTGAAAACGAAGCCTCACTAAAGGCATTCAACTTCCAGCTAAAGGCTCCTTTCCTTGATGCATATTTGTGATCATAAATAGTGTTCACTAAATGCAGTACACTAAACTAGCAACAGATTAGTTAAAAGTAGCTTAGATTTTCAACTTCCCATAATACAAGCAACATCTTTAGAAGCAATCACATTAAAATAAATGTGTCTTTCACAGTTACGCGATGAAATTTTAAGCTGGACAAGCACCAATGCCCTGGTTTTCTACTTTATTCGTAAACCATATGACTCCCACATGCTGAGAATGTTTTATGCTTTAACCTGCAGTAAAGGCTTTACATCATTTTAATGCCCAGTACTTAAAATGCAACGGAATCACCCCCAATGAATGCTAGGAATATATTTGGTTTACACGTAATGATTTTGATCCCACTAGTAGTCAGAAAAAGTTTAATGAACGCTTTTCCCAGTAAATAACTTTGTACTTCCATGTACAAAACAAAAAGAAATTTTGAGGTAAGGGTGGATGGAAGAGAAAATACTCATGCTTTTCCAATTCAAAATATTAACAAACATGTAGGTTTTTTACTTCTAAAATAACTATTAAACATTTTTTAAAACCTCCATGACTATAATAATATGCTTCAGAAAAATAAAACAAAACACTCCGTTAAGTAGTTATGTAGGATTTTTCTCCAGCTTTTGCAAAGTAGTGTTTCAAGTTAAGACACAAGCTTAAAACAAATGATTCTGAAAATCCTGGTCTATCACAAACTAATGGCTTAGTTTGGAATCAACATATTGTATATTCTACATCTGAAGATTTAGAAACCACAGTTTTTTTCTATTCAGGTCAACTGAAGTATACATGCTACCTCATTCTTTCAGTCCCCCTTATCTGTGTGAATGACCAACAGCAAAAATTTCAAATAAATGGTTAGAGGACATACCATAAAATTATACACTATCAATGTGGTTTTCAGTTATCATAGAATCTAAAGGTCCCTTACTGATGATAGGTGGCAGATTCAAGAATTGATAAGTTTGGGGAATATATTCAATTCTCAACAGTTGAAATAGAAATTATGCCAATTTCTTTATTTTAAAAATCCGTTACACTAAAAAATTGTCACATAAGAATTATTGAAGAACTTAATAAGGAAGTACAAAATATGTGATCTTAAATTCTTCTAGTATGTTATTAAATATTAAAAACTGTGAGAAATATGCTGCAATCCTTTTCTTTTTAACTCTAATTGAAATTTGAAAAAAATTTAGAATTCAAATTTCCCAACTTTGACTTAGAAACATAATTCAACTAGATCAAGCAACTTAATTGTACAATTTTAAAATAAGTTTAATGCAAAGCACTGCAATCCTGATGTGATAATTACCTGCAGCATAAATGCAAAATAATAAATGCATTTAATGATGCATTTTATGGTAAAACCACAAAAAGCACAACCATATTAGCACAAACTAAATAAAAAGACAGGCGGTATTATGTCATCAAAACGAGAAATGTCGTACTAAGCCAAGAAAGAAAGGAAGGACTTAAGGAAGGAAGGAGGGAGGAAAGGAAGGAAGGAAGAGGGAAGGAAGAGGGAAGCCAGAGGTTTCTATACCTGCAGGATCCCAGAGAAATGAGCTAGTCACATCACTCTACCCTATATGATACATGGGTGATTTTTTTTAAGCTTCAGTGTAAATAAAAGCAGTAATCACTTTATACCATTCAACTTTACACACTGTTATCTTTAATGCCAACTGCATTCTTCCCTTTACTCACCCAATGCTTCTTCACTGTTCCATTCCACCAGCTTTCAGGCAAATGCAAGACAGAACAGGGTGGAGTAGAAGAAAAATACAAGCAGCGCCTTTCCGCGCACCCCCTCTCCCGCAAATAATTTCCAACAGTTCTTCCTACTACGAAAATAAGTCGCCCTATCTCAAGATACACAGCAGACATTCCGTCTCTTTAGTAGACATACACAGACGCGTACACAATCCAGCACTCCCGACCCCCACCGCAGGCCCCCCGAATCTTCGGCAATTATTCATCTAATTCACACGAAGACAAGATACCTCTACCTACTGTTTCGGGGTGAAGGTGGGTGGAGGACGCCTTTCAAAGTAGCCCCAATAGTGTAACCAAAACACGGTTCCGGAATAAAATATTAAGAAACACTTTTCCTTTCCCACCTATCTACCGACTTGAGGATGCAAAAAACCCATCTCCACATCACACCATCTCTACAGTTCTCGTGGCTGGAGTTTGGGGTGGAGATTCGTCCAGGGGAGGGGGCGGAGGCGAGTGGCGGAGTGTGAGCGGGCGACGGGACACGAGCGAGTTGCTGAGACCGGCTGCCCCGCACCACGTCGCCAGCCCAAATGCCCAGCACCAGGACCTCACGCCCGCCCCTCAGCCCAGGCCCAGAGCGAGCGAGGACTCGCGCTGTCTAACTTCCCATCTACAGACACCGCTCCAAAACAAGCAGAGCACACAAGTACACGTCACACAGTTTAAACACACTTCCACACCCCAAACAAACCAACACACCTGCAAATCACCTCACAGTTTCTCGAACTCCGCACCAGAGACCCCACCTCCAGGATTCAAACCTTCCGCTCATAGTAGAGGAAACCAGAAGAGTTGGGGGGCAGTCGACGCCTTTCCAGGACCGGCCCCCACGAACTGCCCCACCCCACAGCCCGCGTCTGGATCACCCACTCGGAAGACCCCTGCTTCCTCCCTCCTCTCAATCCGGCCGCTAACGAGACCCATCCCCAGCGTCCGCTCACTTCCTCCCCAAAACCCCTCCAAAAAAAATTGTTTTAAATGAAGAGAAAGAAGTGAGGAAAGAGACTTGAGGTTGTCCGGCTTCAAAACCGCTCGACTCACCTCAGAATCCTCGCTGAGTTCTCTCCGCCCGGCAGAGCCCCCTCCCCAACGTCCCAGTACGAAGGGCTGAGGTAGGGAGGAGGGAAAGCGGGAGGGGGAGGGGTGTCTTCCGCGTGGGGCGCCCGTCGGGAGGGGACTGGGGAGGGGTTGAGGCCGGCGCAGGAAGAGGAGAAGGGGGAGGGGAGGCCCCTATCTCCCAGTCTCCCCCTGAAAAACCTCCCTTGTCTCAATCACATCAGACTGACTGTCTTTGTCTGGCTGACAACCGCCATATTGACATCAACAGCCCCGCTCCCACCTGCTGCCGCCCGGCGTCCCTGGGAGTTGTAGTTCCTGTCTCCCCCGAGTAAAAGCGCGGAGCCCGGCGCCTAGAGGCCCAAGAGAACTACAACTCCCGGCAAGCCCCGTGCCCATCCGCTTTCCCTTTGGGTGGAGGGGAAAGGGGACCCGGAGCCGTCGGGACTACACATCCCAGAACACCATGGGCTCCAGGCGCGTAATGGGGACATGATATCATGCTGGGGTGGAGAGGGAGGATGCATTGGCGGCGGGGATGAATTTGAGCTGACGGAAAGAGGCGTCCGCAGAGGAAAGGGAGGAAAAGGAAAGGCGACCACAGTTCCCATGGTGCCTGGAGGGGAGACTACATTTCCTATGATTCCCCTGGAAGGGACGTGAGAATGAAAGACTGCAAGTCCCGCGATGCTCTCGGCTGGCAGGTGGCGGAGATTGCACCGGAAGACGCTTCCTGCGTTTGAGGAGTTCAGTGACCGCTATTGAACCACCAAAAGTCCATTATGAAACTGGTGAGTCTTCGCTCCTAGGTCAGAGAGCAAAGTTGATGCTATATCCTTTTGGACCTCTTTTTTTCCTACTTTGGGCAGGGAATCGTCGCACAGGAGGGGTAGCAATTAGGTAGCTGGAAAGTGGAGTGGGGTAAAGAAAGCTGGTTTTTTTTGTTAAGAAGGCTTGAATTCCCTCTCCCGCCCCCCTATCCCTCCCAGGAGGTCTTCTTTCACTTGTTGGTGGGTCTTTTTGTTCAGACAAGACGTTGACTCTGTCACAGTCCTTCCCCTATGAACTCTGTGGGCTCTGTTAACCAGGTTTGGACGTCCTGGCTCCCACGTTAGGGTTATGATAGGCTGTTAACAACCCCTTTCCATTCGACTGGCGCTTGAGTAGCCTGTCTCCCTACTGTTCTTGAGACTTTGGCTAGATTTAAGCAGACAGTAAAAAAAACATTCGGCAGAACGTAATCACTTATTAAATATCCTGTTGTATAGACTCCTCACTGCCCTTGGAATTCAGGACGAGGTCAGAGTGTGGAGAAGTTGAGTCTTAAACCCTAACTGGGATTTAGATGGGGAGAGAAGTGTTATATGGTATTCCATTCTAAGACTGTAGGGACTGCCTGAGCCAAGTCTGGATGAAGTGTGCCGGTATACCTGAAGTCTTAACATCACACAACTCAAGCACCTGGCTCATGGAGACTTCTCAAACCTTTGATTTGAGCCATTTGACTCATTGTGCATACAGGTCTGACTAGTTTATTCCAACTCGATTCAATTAGTAATAACATAGTGTAGAAAGGCAGGTGTGAAACTCTCTTTATCAACCTTTTAAAATCCATATTCGTGCAGCCAAGTTACTGTCAAGCTTTACTTGAGGCAGGAGAATCGCTTGAACCCGGGAGGCGGAGGTTGCAGTAAGCCGACATCGCGCCACTGCACGCCAGCCTGGCGACAGAGCGAAACTCTGTCTCAAAAAAAAAAGTGTATTTTACCATTTATGTAATTATCTAAATATGCTTTTCCAAACCACACAACCCACCTACCCTCATCTTGATAATCATTGTGCTACAGGCATATACTCTGCAAAGCCAGCTCTTTTCTGCGTAGTCAAAGTGTTAAAAGTGGATTCAATTCTGAAATTGTCTCCATGTAAAGATGTTCATATAAGAGGAAGGATGCGGGTCACTAAACCTTGAGAATAGCAATTTACCCCTGGGTCAGTGTGCTATACATTTAAGAATGCAGAATTAAAAGTCATAGCAGTTGCCCTACAGAAGCGTGCAACCTAAGAAGAAGATTAAAAGTAAACCAAAGTTATGATTTATTTATTTAAAGACAGGGTCTGGCTCTGTGGGGCCCAGACTGGAGTGCAGTGGCGCGGTCTCAGCTCACTGCAACCTCCACCTTTTGGGCTTAAGCAATCCTCTCGTCTCGGTCTCCACATGTAGCTGGCAATACAGGCACGCACCACCACACCCTGCTGATTTTTTTGTAGAGATAGGATTTCACCATGTTGCCCAGGCTGGTCTCAAACTCCTAGGTTCGAGGTATCTGCCCACCTCGGCCTCCCAAAGTGCTGGGATTACAGGCATGAGCCACCGTGCCTGGTCCGAAATTATAATTCACTGTGTTCATGGTAAAATAGAGGCGTGTTCAGGGTTTTGGGAATTGAGAGAAGATTGGGGAGGTCAGGGGACAGCTTCCTGGAAAGGTGACTGACTCTTGAACTGATAAGAAGGATAAGTAAGCCAGGACCTTCCATGAAAGAGGTCAGCTTATAGGAGCAGAAGAGCTTGGTACCTTATTGGCTAAAGCACAGACCCTGTGTTCTCAATAAAGAACAAATTATATTTGGTGTGTTCAGTTTAAGAAGGCAGGGAAGTGTGAAATAATTTTTCCCATAACAACTCATTAGTGAGGGTATCAAAAAGCCAGAGTTTACTTTACGTATACTTTAGTTTGCTCATAAAATCCTTCTGCTTAATTTATTTAGAAATAGGAAACCAGGGAATAGGAAAAAGTAAAAAAGTGGAAAATTATTTTTTCCATTAAGAACCAAAGATGCCTCAGAGGAAAAGGAAGTCTTCTACTGATACTCATACTCTCTCTTTACTTTGCAACTATGTATTACATACTAAAACTTATTTGGTAGTTGATAGATACATATAATTGAGAATTTCCATCAACATACCAAAAGCATTGTTGCTCAGTAAGTTAGATTGATGCGTCATGCCTCCCAAATGGTGGTAATAAGTCCTCCCATGGCCTAAAAGTTTTAATTTTGTGTACTGCTTCAGGAATATGTGATAGGCTGTGTTTTAAGTTTATAATTATGAAACAAAAATACATAATTTTGTTTAGCATTTTCTCATTTTTGAGATTGACTTTCCAGAGTACCCTTCCTACATACAATCTATGACCACCTTTTATTGATTCTACTTCCTAAATGAAACTTTCTTAAATAGATTCTGTTTCTCTCCAGTCCAACTAGAATACTGTCTTTGTAGTGGGCTCTTTTTGCTTGGAATTCAACAAGACCCCTTATCTGGTCTCCCTGTATTCAGTCTTAACCCTCTCAAATTCATTCTTTCCTCTGCATCCGGAAGTTGTTTTAATTGCAGAGTTCCATGAAACCCTCTCAGTATCTTCCTTTGCCCTTAGGATAACTTCCTACACTTAACTTGGTTGAATGTGTTCCATTGCCGGCCTCACTCTTTTTTGCCTGGCTAATTTCTTCATATATTTCAGATCTCTGTCTAAATAACACTTTGTCAGGGCCTCCTTGAATTAAATACCCCTGTCATATGTTTGATGGCATACTTCCTATATGTGGCACTAGTAATTATTGGACTGTGTCTGTCTTCCCCCGTGTAGACTCTGTGTAAATAATTAGTAAATAATTTCTGCAGGTTTATCAAGGTTTATCATATTATCTATGAATACCCTTGAGAAAAGATTAAAGAATGAAATTAAAGAGATTACAATAAGCAGTAACAATTGAAGTAAAAAAGGAATAATCGCTACCTTTTATAAAGCAATTATTGTATGCCAGGCAATGTGCTAAGTATTTGCTATATAGTCTCCCATTTAATCCTTTGATTCAGATGACAGTATTCCCATTTTACAGACAGAACAATGTGAGCTTCAGGGAGGTGAAGTAAGTGGCTTAAAGTTAGCACGGATTACAAATGATAGAGTCAAGATCTAAACCCAGGTTTCCCTGTTATTTAGTGAGGGTAGGAACTCTGGCACCCTGCATCATGCCTAGGTTATCTCTTAAAAAAAGGAAGGTAGAGTGCATACCCAAAATGTATTCAAGGCTATTTTTAAAAATTAGCTTTAAATGCAAGTGTGGTTCAATTAAGATCTTCAGGCCAGGTGCAGTGGTTCATGACTGTAATCCTAGCACTTTGGGAAGCGGAGGCAGGCAGACGGCTTGAGATCAGGAGTTCTAGACCAGCCTGAGCAACATGGCAAAACCTATCTTTACAAAGATACAAAAATTAGCTGAGCGTGGTGACATGTGCCTGTAGTCCCAGCTACCTGGGGGGCTGAGGCAGGAGGATCACTTGCGCCTAGGAGTTTGAGGCTGTAGTGAGCCATGATGGCACCACTGCATTCCTGCCTGGGTGACAAAATGAGACCCTATCTCAAAAACAAAAAACAAAAACAAAAAAATATTTTTAAGGTTATTGGTTAAAAAAAATTTTTTTTTTAAGTTTGGAAACTTTCTTGATGAGCTAAAGGCCCCCATATCAGAGCATACCAATTTGATTTTGAAGTTAGTCTTTTTTATATTCCAAATTTAGTTCCTGCGATACCATTTATAATTCTCCAACTTTGCACATCACCCTCTTGGTGACTTTTCACACACCCACATGAAAACAATGGATGCCATTTTAACATAATACTTGGGTATCTCCTTCTTAGATACCAACTCAGAGGATTTCAGTGGCCTTCCATATTTATAATATGCAATATTCAGGCAGCTTTATTTAACTGAAGAAAACTTGTTGGCATTTTCAGTTAACCAGAATCATTTTAGAAAGCAGAGGAAAATTAGAAATGTATCTTTTAAATTAGCGCATTTTAGAGCATGTTCTGTTATTCATACAGATTGAGCCTAATTGGGTACCCTGATGGCCAGTTCAGCTAAGGATAGAAACTGGAATTCACAAAGGCCCTTACCGAAAGACCATTGAACAAAAAATTCTGAGCACATCGACAGAAATTAAGTTTGAAACGTCATGTCCAGCAAACCAGTCATTTAAATAGATGAAGATTCAAGCGAATAAAATAGTCCAAAGCAGTTCAAGAATGCAGCCTGTGTGTTGCACTTCCTACAGATGGTACCTGAGATGGAGAGAATCTTCTGGCTTATTCAGTCAACAAAGATTTATTATGCAACCACAGTATACCCTTGGCATTCACAGTTTTAACGCTTTCCATTTTAACCATTACATTTGACCCCTGTGACATGGAAT